AAATTTTTCACATTGCATTTTCTTTTTTCTCGTCTATTTTCGTGCCTTATGTTATTTTTTTGCTTACCTCCTTGCTATTGTTTTATTTATGCCGTTCTGCTTTTTAGTTTTTCTGCTCCTTAATTTTCTGCTCTTTACGTTTTTCGCTTTGTGATGCTACATGGCTGCGGATGATGTGGAAAGGACATTTGTTGGAGGCGCACGGGACAGTTATGCCAGTCATGTGTGTTAAATTGTTTCCCTGCTTACTCCTTGCGTGATTGTTCCACTCATCTCTGTTGTGGCTTGGTCTGGTCTGTATCGCTTTGTCTCAGTTTGGTTTGACTTGGTGCGGCGGCAAGTTTGTTCGCGAAAACGACAACTCGCTTCTCCCTTCACACATACGTCGCTATTTTTTTATTTTCCTTTCACACATACGCATGTGTGAAGGTATATTTGATGCTGTGCGAAAATTGGAGCAGGTGAAAGAAGGCCGTAATGTGAGGAGAAATGGAAGCTGCTGCTTTCCTTCGACATTCAGTTCGTTCCCAGTAATTTAAATTTTCCGTAATTATTTCAGTAATTTTTTCCTCAGGTTAAATTCAGGAAATCTTTTATTTCAAAGCATATACTATTCGTTAAAAGCCCCTGTTGCCCTACCACATATTCTTTAATTACTTTATATTTCTTGGTTAGGCTTATCTTTGTCTAGTTCCATGAGTTCCTTGCTGTTGGTTGATTCTTCCCACACGGAGAGAAGATAATGTATGTATTTGTGAACGAGTATCCATTAGCTATGCTCATGGTTAAAGGATAATGGCCTTATTCATAAAAAATGAATACCTTAAATGCTTTATAAATCGAAAATTTTTGTGAAAATCGCACTTAATAAAGCCTTTAGATAAGGTTAGGTTATTATGGCTGGCTGGGCCCCACATAGCCCAGATGCCAGATGGAGATAGAGGTTTATTTTAGTATATTCTAAGGACACATCATTTAGGATGTCAACGCTTTTTGAGGATCTGACTAGTGCTTGAAGCCCAAGTGCTGTAACGTCTTCAAGATTATTAAAGTCTGGAACTTCAAAATATTTCAGTCGTGTTTTTGATACAGCAGGAGAAAGGCATAGGTTGTGCACTAGGTTCTCCCTTGTTCACGTCCCCATGAATTTCCTGCAAACTTCATTGCAGTCTGTTCTCGCAAGGGATAGTATAAACCGGGTTTGTATCCCGTTTACTAGACTACACATGACTGTAGAGATAGCGTATTCTAGTATCTCGATATATCCTGGTTTTTGAACCTCTAGTCTATTTCGTTATAAAGATTTTTTAGAGGTTTTGGAATGTTATTCTATTGTTCCAGTTCCCAGTGGATTCTGCTCTTCGCAATCTCATCTACAATTTCGCCTGTTTTCTGCTGCCCTATTTTTGGCCTCCCTACTTCTAAGGGCATTTTGTGACGTACATTGTTATGAGCTAATAGCCTTGATCTCTGCTTGACTATCCACGCATATGTCAACTTTACAGTTATTTCCATTCATTGAATATGCTAGCTCAGCGGTTTTTCTCACTGCGGAAACCTCTGCTTGGAATATACTGCAGCTCAACTTATGAAAACAGCTCAAAGTAAAGTTCCGCACGCAGCTCATATCTACTCCAGAGACCTCTTCGGTAGTGTCAATATCCTACTTTCCTAGATGTCCAAACCTTTGTCTTGCAAAATCAGTGCATCTGAAAAGGAAACTATTTCACCTGGCCCCTACAAAACAACGACAATGAGGGCCGAAACGATAATGAGTTCAGTGAATGGGTTTCTATCAAACAGTGCCTGAACAAGACTTTTGTTACAACGAGAATTACCGATTAGCCGGCTGAAGCAGCCCTCCTGGCTCAAGTAAGGAGTTTGCAACTTTGCATGTCGCGTCATTTTGCCAGAAATTACTGTGCCGTCTAAATGCGCATCTGGTTTGCAGCAGTCTACAGCTTGGCACAGTAGTTCTCCTGTCAGGAGAGATGACTTCAAGGGTGCCCTGCCTATATAGGACTATATAGGTTCTAGACCGCCCGTCCACTCACTCTAAAATGAAGGGAAATGTTTTTTATTGAAACCGAAACAATTTTACCTACTAAATCGGGGATGCTCTATCTTTTGGTGGTATTACCGAATTCCGGGTTCGACCAGTTTCGACCGGAATTGGGATAACCTGACCTAAAGCCAATTTTTTTCAAATTAGATATACACTTTTTTAATGCAGATTCGGATTATTAGGATAAAAATACATAACGTGGGTGGTCTAGGACACCCTGTATATATAATAGAGGCTATCAAGAGAGAAGTCAGCCCTTCCCTGACCAGTTTCGATCGCACAATAAGAGATCCTATAGTCCTGATTGATAGCTGTCTCCTGTATAGCAGTGATGGGTATACCTAAATAATTTTGTATTTAAAGTACCAGTTTGGACACTACATATTTGAGTCACTAATTGGAGATGTCTAAATATTCCAGTAAAAACCTTATGTATTTCGTTATTTAACATTTGCTAAATACTCAAGTAAACCTATTTTGGTGCTGTTAGATGTACAAATAAAATAACTTAGGTATTTAGGACCTGCTAGATACTAAAATCTAAAAAATAAATGTATTTGGCAGGCGCTAAATACTTTGCTCTAAATTAATCAGATACCTTGGAGATTCAAAATACTTTCACGAAAGTACCGAGGTATATAGTCTCTCGATGGCTAAATACTTTAAAACTAAATGCTTTATGATTTAGCAGAAATTTAAAAAACTAACATCTAATGGCTGACACAATACCGGCGAACGACGGACTCACCTCAGCGAAATTCGCACTGTCAAAATTAGAACACCCGCAAGCATATGCAGTTGAAGGCATCAAAAGCGAAACACGAAGCTCGCTCGGCGTCGTTTCGTGGTGATAGACTTATTTCTATCGCACTCCTGAAAGGTGACGGCAGTACATGCCAAAGCTGGCCGTATGTTTTTGAGCCCGCATTGTTGGTAAAAAGTACAGTTTTCGATTCGTTAAATTTGGCTTAAGTTTTTCTAAATATGGTCACTCCGATTGTAAATGCGACGAAATGGTATCAGCTGTTTTCGCCACAGTTTTAATTGGATTAAGGAAGGCGAAATAGCAAGGCAAACGGAGAACAAGGGCATCATCGCCCAATTTGGCGAACTTCGCCGTTCGCCGGCATTGTGTTTCAAGCATTACCTTACACTCAACTTAACTTACATTCTTTACCACAATTCACTGCACCTTACCTCAACTCAATTCGCCACACCTCAATTTGGGGACTATTCTGAGATTTTAGAGATTCTCGGGATTAAATCAAGATTTTAGGGCAATTTCGGGATTCTGAGAACTATTTCGAAATTATCGGGACTATTTCGGGATCCTCGGAAATATTTAGGGATTTTCGAGACCACTTCGGAATTCCCAGGACTATTTCGTGATTTTCGGGAAAATTTCGGAATTTTCGTTGCATTTGTAGAGCTTGAAGTCGATATATTTATCGATATTTTTACAGATATTGTTATCAATATGGTTATCGGTATTTTTATCGATTATATTTTATCGATATATTTAACGATATCTTTATTATGGATACTTTAATCAACTTTTTATATATTTCTCGATATATGTCTTGATATTTTTATTGCCTCAATATGATTACCGCTATTTATTGATATATTTATCGATGTATTTGGTCTCGAAAACCCCGAAATAGTCCCTAGAATCTTAAGTCTCGAAGCAGCCTCGAAACTCTCGAAATAGTCCCGAGAACCCCAAAAATTGTATGAACCTCGAAGAAGTTTCATAAATCGCGAAATGGTTACGAAGGTCATAGAAATCCCAACGTGGTCTTCACAATCCCGATATAGTTCTTAAATTTCCCAAAATCGTGAAAAAGTCCCAAAATCCCAAAATTCTTTATTCTAAAATTTTTATAAACTCTTTAGGTGCCATATATGTATTTAAAACAAGTAAGAAAGCCTAAGTTCGGGCAGAGCCGAACATTAAATACCCGGCGCACGTATTAAATATATGTTTTTCGCCTTACCAAAAGCTACGGCTATATGGTAAGCCGGGGCGTATCAATTTTGAGTAAATTAGAGTCCTTAGATTTCGAAATTTTGAAGTTTCAAGCAGTTCTGAAATTTACCGTTATATGAGAAGCGGCCGTTATTTTAGTCCGATTTCAATAATTTTCAACGGTTTGCTTATATGTGGCAAGCACAATAACCACACCGAGTTTGGTACAAATTGGTAGAACGGTTACTGAGATACATATATGTGATCATAAGTGGGCGGTGCCACGCCCATTTTCCAAAAATTTATCACAAACGTATTTCTTGGTAAAGAATTGTTGCAAGNCATTTGTCTATATCTATCTCGATTCGTTTTGGCTGTTACAAACAACCGTTATGTGAACAAAATTAATATACCCTTGTGCACAAGTGCGCTCGGGTATAAAAAGTGAGGTGAAGGGCAACGGGCAAAATAAGTTTTGAGGACGAGATGCACACCTCATGTTAATATGCATACATCTAACGACGTTTTTTTAATTTATGACACTGAATCGCATCCCACACATAAAATCAATTTTGCAAATACTTTCCCTTAAAAATTTAATTGTGAGCAGTTAAAATACCCAATACGATAAGTATCATATATTTACATACATGTCGCACACCGTCTTCAAAAGAGTCACAACTCAAAATTTGGCATTTTTGAAATTATGCGCTAAAAATGTACACAGAGCTTTTATATACCTTTCAGCAAAAGCTGGAGCAAATTTTTGTTATAATTTGTTAAAAAAAAACCTAAGGAAGAGTCGCCCTTGTCCATACGATTAGCATGTGCTACGAAATAGATTTTCGCATTTTCGGGCGAACGTATTATTTTGAGTTGCGACTCTTTTGAAGACGGTGTGCGATGTGTAGGTATGAAATAGGTATGTATGTATATGTATACAATATAATAAATGCAAATAATTACCGATAGACTGGCTTCGGGTTGGCATAGGCCACATATGGCACAACAACAGGATCGCCCAGACGCGCCACTATACTTGTGGCCTTTTCATTCATAATCGGTGGCACAAGTTCACGCATTTCTGTGAAAATATACAGCGTAGAAAAACATATTATTAACAAATAAAAGTGAGAGAAAGTATGGAAATATATGCAGAGAATGACATACACATACATATCTGAACTTGTGTATATTTAAAAAAAAAAAAGAGTAACACTCAAAATATGTGCGTTAAAAGCATTATGTAAATAAAATTTAAATTAATATTCATAAACGGCAATTATGTGGCACCGGCAATAAAATGTAAATATTTTTTTTTGCCAAGATAGCTGTTTGTACTATTATTTATGACCCTAATTTATGTATGTGCACATGTACGTGCATACAAACATATATACAGTTACGGGATTCACAAGACGTGTTAACCGTCGTAAAATCTTAAGGTTAACATCTTTTTTAATTAAAATGGTTTTAGGGGATTTCTAACTAAACCGAAATTCTTTTAAACTGATAACGAATATATAATTAGCCAACCCCCCAACCATTTTAACCGCTATTTTACATAAACAAGTGTTAAGCTTAAGATTTTACGACGGTTAACACGTCTTGTGAATCCCCTAAGTGTTTAAGTGCATTTTAAGCGTTTCAAGTGCACAACCCTTTTAACAAGCATTCATCTCTGCACACATGCATATGTATTACATGTATGTTGCTTTCGTCGGTTTTGGAGTTATCGTTAATTACTTTGATGATATAATTAACACACCGCAAACACTGCAAACTCACACTGGAAGCTTTCGATGCGCGCATGCAGTATTGAGCAAAATATTAGCAATTTCTTCAATCATGGCGGCCGCTAGTGTAGCGGTTAGCAGTGCGCTCTACCATTGTGTAGGGCTTACGTTCCTGACGGGTTTAACCCAACATCAAAAAAAAAAGTAAATTAAAAAAAGTTTTTTTTTAATGGCGTTCACCCTCGACAGGCAATGGCGAACATCCTATTGTGTTTATACCATGGAAAACAGCATCTCATAAAAATACGCTCGCCGTTCGGAGCCCCTCCCCTTTGTGTAACATTATCAAGGCGCGCTTCACAAATCGGAGGAGAAGCTCGGGCAAACACTAACATATGTACATATGTTTAATCGCCGCTCTATTGTTATTATTATTATTATTAGAAGCCAATCAAGGTCATAATGTTTATACGATGTCAAGCACCAACCGGTCACTAAGCGATAGCAAGACACTCTTTTAAGTAAAAAATTTAAAGATTCGACGTCAATAAAATATATTTACTCAATTTAGTGCGCGGTTGGGCCATCTCATTTTGGTGCGCGAACCATTTAATTGTGAATTTGCATGGCCTCATCCAACAATGCAAAACTTGTGTGTATAAAATTTTGCAATGAGGTGAATAATACTTTCGTCGTTAGTAAAGGTATTTGTAGATATTTCCAGCGATATTTTTTCTTCATATTAAAAGCTCCGCTTCCTCATCTTTTTCAGCGCTGTAACGGCCCAAGCGATTTCGAGTCGAATAAGGCACACTAGTTGTTTCTTTTCTGTGCAAACTGACGCCGATTGAAAAGCCAACTTCTTCTCCACCTGGTTCCAAGTTGAATACTTCGTCGCACGAAGTTTATGTAGTTATATCTCATTGTTCCATCGTCTGCAGTATTGTTCCGCAGGGACAGCAACAACGCAGGTTTTCATTGGCCATGCTTCTGCGCCATATATGAGCAATGGGAGAGCTGTAGGGTGTGGTTTTTTTTCGATGAAAAATGGTTTTATTTCCATAAGGCAAATTCTGCGACTAGAGGTGCGCCCTACCACGTTTTTCGTTTTCAATCTCATAAATTATTTATAATGACTTTTGCCAAAATTTCAAAATCAATAGTTTTCTAAACTTATTCTATGGGACTGAGAAATATTATTTTCTACTTTTTAGTCCATTTATAAAAGCGTGGTATGTTAAAAAGTTTTATTTTATTTTATTTATTTCGTTATATTTTTGGCATTTATAGTCGGATTTCAAAATATGATATACTGATGTTCTTGTCTCAAGTAGGCAATTTTTTCAACACTTATTGACCTCACGTAGCCCATTCTAGTACTTACCCGCCAGAGCTCAGTTCTTATCAGTCTAACACCACCCTAATGTAATTAAAGGCATGAATGTACGGCGATTTTTTTTTTGGTTGTAAAGTGGTACGATCGAATGTACATGCAATCAATCGATATGGTGAGAGAGGTCAAGCATGCATGACTTTTTGCTATAATTCATTCTCTACATATTGTTGCTGTTGCTGTTGTATCAAATGCTTAACTTACCAGTCAATTGAATTTTGCCCATCCATATTGTGCTTACAACAGAGTCGATGGGTGCAGCAGCGAAAAACTTTATGCGCATCGGTGCGTGTGATGTTGTAAACCAAAAGTTCGCCAGTCGGTGGCATATGATTTTTGCCATCTAAAAGCATTCACAGAAGAAGACAAAGAAGCAAAAACCAAGAAATCAACAAACGTACGAGAAATAAAACAAAATTGGCAAAACATTTGCGCTGAAATGTTGAGTGCAATAAATGTACATACTTGTTTATTTTAGCTAATTTTTTTTCGTTTTTGTTTTTATATGTTTTTTCGTTGTGTAACTTTTTGTATATCCGTAACTAACGGGTGATTTTTTAAGAGCTTGATACCTTTTTTTTAAAAAAAAACGCATAAAATTTCAAAATCTCATCGGTTCTTTATTTGAAACGTTAGATTGGTCCATGACATTTACTTTTTGAAGATAATTTCATTTAAATGTTGACCGCGGCTGCGTCTTAGGTGGTCCATTCGGAAAGTCCAATTTTGGGCAACTTTTTCGAGCATTTCGGCCGGAATAGCCCGAANATCGCCGATACACATTATCTACTCGCTTATACTTCGATGCAATATTTCGTTCAAACGTAGTTGTTAACCTTTTCCTGGTAGAACGGGTTAATGTATATATTGCTCATTTTCTCACTGGGAACATGCACACCCACGCGTGTGTGTATGCGAATGTATTTAATAGATAGGGGAGGGTGAAAATAATAAAGTTTTCAACAAAGATATGTTTTCATTCAGCATATGTGTACTGAGATGGTCGAGTAACCGCTTGGGTGGGTTGGTGCCAAGCAGAAGTTGCATGGCCCCCAAAGAAGTTAAAAATTAAAAAAAAAACAAGATCTCTGTTGGGGAAGTTGAAGTCAACGAGTGCGGCAAGGGGGAAGAGAAACCTGTAAGTTAAGCAAGTTCTGTTCACTTTTGCTGGTTCTTTGATATTTCATCAGCTAAAAATGCACAATTAATGCCTCCAAAGTAAATAATAGGCGAAATTGTCAGCGGTACCCTCTAGCTACTTTAAACTTTCACTTTAAATAAAAATTGATTGGGCTACACAACTGCATACTCAGAATATTTCTAAGACATCTAGGAAAGTTTGTTGCTCTTTTTTAAATTTTGATCAAACATTAAAACTTGGATTTATACTTTTTATTGCATTATATGGAATTAGTTGATCGCTTTTGTTCGAGCATGTCCTATGAAGCGAATAATTGTTCCCTTTACACCCGAATTGATATAAACGTTTTTTTTTTAATAAAAATAAAAACTTGCGCCAGCCGCGATTCGAAACTGGTATTTATCTCTGAATTGCTAAGCGAATACTCTCCCTACATGCCAAAGTCGCATATGAAATTTCGTTGAGTAAGTGCCTAAATATCACTAAATCGTTAATAGTACCCGCTAGAGATCAGTAGGAGACTAATTGATCTCCAATTATAGCAAATACCCGTCGTGCTTTGCTGCTCCTTAAAAGGTGGCAACCCTGCGCAAAAATATTTTCGGCAGTAAACTTTCGTAAACGCTTTCAGTTTTGATACCCATACCAACCTTCAAAAAACCTTTTTTGGCTGTAAGCCTTCTTAAACCTCTTCCTTTTGGCGGCCAAATTGCAATATTTCCATAACCTTATTAATTTACTTAAACTGCAATTTTCAAACAGTTGGAAACTCTGTTATATTTTCTTTCTATATTTAAGTTGAACCTCTGCAAATACATCGGTGAAAGCCGACAGACAGACAGAAAAAAATTCTTCAGACATCGGTCCTGCTACAATATTATTATATGTATAGATGAAAAGGGACAAATTCGAACTGGAATTATGAACATAAGAACACTACATAAGAGCCACATATGTAAATATTGCATGTAAATACATACATACTTATGTACATGTACAGTGACTTAAACTAATGACCATGTGTTGATTTTTTTTTTAATATTCGTAATGTTTTTCGAGCTAAATTTGTTTGAACTTGCATTTCATTAGACTAAATTGTATGCGCTACAAAACTGCATACCCAAAAAAAAATTCAGATTAAAAAGTTATAATTTTGTTGAATTTTTCTAAAGTTTGTATAAAGTTTCAACTGTGATGTTTTTGGTTAAAGCTTGGATGGCATTTTTATAGAAAAACTAGCAAATACCCGGCGTGCTTCACTGTGCCTTAAAAGTATTTTTGTGTTGTTTGATATCCGCAGTGTCATATTTCATTTACTTTACCAAATTAATTAAATAAAAAATTTAAAACTTCCCAAATCTCTTCAGTTTGGTAGTAGCAAAGACCGCTCATATTAATTTTTCTTTAATATATAATGTACAAACATTGGCCTGTTACAATTTTAATATATGTAGGTATAGATAACGAAAAAAATGTTAGCTCGAAAAACCTTACGAATATTTAAACAAAATCAACACGTGGTCCATTTTTTGGTTCAATGTATATACTGTAAGTATATATTTCCCCTAACTGAGACAAAAATTTCTCATACATATGAACGTAAATCTCTCTGTTCATACACTATACTACCCAGATTAATGAGATAAACTCTTAAATAAAGCCACGTAATCATACTTTTTTTCTTCATAAAATTCTAAGCAATTTTTTGCTTTACGCCAACCAATGCCTTGGCCTAAAAAATAGTCTTGCATATGAACATTTAAGTGAGTATATATAGTTGCAAAATGTTGGCATAAATTCCTAAAGCTTAACTG